CAATTGGGAAAAACTTACTATATAAGAATTTGCGAATTCCAAGCATCGCAGTAGGCTGGGCGGGTAACTTGACCCAGGAGTGATTAAACTCACAGCTCCCGGTGGGGCCTCGTGGCTCGTGCGGACAGACCGTTGGCTGTACTTAGACGTCGCCTAAGCTGTTGTAGGCCCGAATCCCCTTAGGCCACCGAGTTTTTCGCAACTGGGTAAAATGAAACTAAGCTATACAGTTTCAAACAGCACTACTTCCGAATAATCACAACTTTTAATTAGAGTCCGCAATTAGTTATATGCTCAAAAACATGCGTGTTTCTTCGAGAAAACTTTGCCTTTTCGGTCGGACCATCTACCTATGGAGCGATGGTTCACGTGATATACGGTTGCACTCTACGAATCAAACCAACAAGGTAGGAAACGTCAAGATCGTTTGGAATTATGTTTCAGTTCTTATTAGAGGAAAAAATATTAATGTGTTGAGAAATGAAAATATGGGATGTTTTGTTGTGATTCTTTCCGAAATCTGAACGGAATCTGATATAGGTGAGAACGGTACAGAAGAATTCATTGACATAACGGAGAGATCGTGAATAAGTCTGGCGAAAAGTAGTAGCCATTTCGTATTCAGTGGGGAAACTTGCCGACAGGGCCATAAAATGTCATACCTAGTAGATGATATATGAAAGTCTCTAAAAAATTCATTTTGCTGAAGATCACTTCTTAGGGCTGATGCTTAAAGAAAACATATTTAGATGCCAAACAAAATGTGGCTAGGAGAATTTTCGAAAGTTTTATGAAAAATGGATAGAAAGTGTTACTGCGTGAATTCTAGATTTTTTACGAAACATTACGTGCCCAAATTATGTTATAAAATCACACTTATTCAAGCATCTCTTCACGACGTTAAGTTATTTATCAATCCACAACCCAAATGACTAAAACCATAAAACGCTAGAAGAAACACCTATTTGCCGGGAAGGTTGGCAATATTACCGTCAAAAGCATATCCGCTTATATGCCTAAGTACAACCAAACAGATTGCGAGTGCTACTTTAGTAGGCAGCATTAACTCCTGTGTATGTGTCCACACGACAGATGCTATCAAAAAGATTTCACTTACGTTTATGGCAAGCGTTGGCGCCTTTTGTTTGAATGTCAGATCCCATATCTGGAGTTCGCCGTTCTTGAACGTGCTAAAGAATACGCCGGGCCGAGCAGGACTCCAAGCGGCGTCGGTAATGGCGGAGTCTTGATAGGGCGTCCACATTATTGGCTCGTCACGCATTTCCTCCGACCAAATGCGGACATCCCAGCCACCCGCGCTGAGGAAGTTCTTCGGATAGAAGGGATTTCGTTGTATGGCTAAGACTGGACCAGCATGTCCTGGGAATACATTGGTCACCTTTTCGGCTGCACTCTTGCCCTTTCTGTTGCACAGGAAAATCTGGCCCTAGACGTCGCGAAAAAAAAATCGGTTTCACAATAAATAAAAGATGCCTGAACGCTTACACATATAGACAAGTATTCTTTTATGTACAATATCGGCTAGATCGCAGTTGGTAGCCAGGACCCGTATTACAGGTGGCGGGGGAGTTTGCTTACTGGGGCTATTTTGTGCGGCTCTATAATCACATCTGGCCCATTTGGCTTCCGTTTTGCGTTTGAGGTCAGGATTAGAGTAACGGTTAATGGTTTCCGATTTTCGGGTTAGGATTATGCCTTTAGTCATGCAGAAGTTGTTCCAATCTACTAGGAACCGGATAGCATTATACAGAAATCATTACCCAATGCTCACCACACAATGAACAGTTCAGACGCACACTCATAGAAAGTGAGAAAGAATCACCTCAAATAACTCAGAAGGCGAGAATGTGTTGTCTAAAAGTGGAATTCTCATAATTGTTCTTGCCACTCTAAAGCTGCGAGTCTGAAACAAAGTCTGATGGGTCACCTCTGACATCAGCTTCCAAATTTAGATAGCATACTTGGCAGCTATTACTATTCCCGGGGGGAAGCGGATCGGTTTGAAGCTTTTTCTTTTAATTAGGAGCATGCTGACAAACAAGAACTTAAGAATGGTTGGCTTTGGGAATGATAAATAGACATCCTGACTTACCGTGCCCTCAAAAGTCTACGGAACCTAAGGACGAACAACATCCCAGCGAAGTTTATTAGCTTTGAGAATTTTGTGTTATAAGCGGAACAAAATACACATCTGAGCAGACGTCACGAATTTGGTGTGATACGGTCAGATTATGTGAGATTCGAGTAGATTAGGCATAATAATAGTCCGTTGAAGTATACACGTTTATATCAATTACAACAACTGTTGAAGGCATATACAGTATACTTAGGTATACTCCATTATAGAGCATACTCAGGTAGGTCACACCATAATCAATAAGGCAAGGGTATGTGCATGCAGACTAACAAACAATTCCTTTCCATTAAGGGATGTTTTTGTTCTCAGAAAAATTTCATAAATGTCACGGACATTGAGTTCATGTGCGGCAGAGAAAATTTCAAGTCATTTTCCGAGTAAACCTTATAATTAATCTCACATTGCCGGTCCAAAAAGAGTCCTACGCTATAAATTTCTCACTGTATTACCTGGCACTTTCAGTTTCCTTGAGCTCGTAGTCCTCGCAAGCTAATCAAGTGAAGATGGCTGGCATCATGTGATCAGGAAAGGCTATTTTAAATTTAATAGAAATTGACTATCGGAATTCCTACCAGGTAACATTAGTGCCCAGAGGCAGGGGAGGGTTTTATTTTCCCTAACATGCAGAGTTTTTGTATAGTTTCATTTAACTATGGGCTATTGTTAAAATTTCGAAAAAATCCCGAGGAGTGACCTCTTAGATTCAGAAGGGCATTTTGCTTTTGCTTGATAATCACATAATGCATACTCTAACACATAGAACTTCCTAGTTCCTCTCTCAATCTGACAAGATTTAAACGGCCTCGGGTTGGAACAAACAAAATCTAGCAATAAAGCATATTGTCAAGTTAGTAACTGCATCCTTTTAGTGCCATTGTTAGATTTAATTCAATTCATATAAGGACCTTTGCCTACACATGGTGAGGGTCCCATTCAGAATTTGTATAACCTGGTTCAGCCAACTTGGTGGTACGCATAAGGGTTACATTCAAAATCACTTTGGAAACTGTGATGGAAAGACGCACTCCTGTTCAGAATGGAAACTGTGAGTTTCTCATCTCTCTAAACGTATCCTCTTCCTGTCTGGGCGTTCAATTAATCCAGACACATACCGTATCTCAATCCAACTAGCAAAAGTCCAAATGTTGAAATAACGGGACAGTTGGCAAACAGTTTGTACATAGCTACTCAAGTCTTAGCAAATTTTCATCTACACAAACTGATGAGCAAAATAGTTGCTTCAAACACAGAATTTCAATTACTCAGTAATTACCTGCTCACTTCCAGCCATAAATTTAGTAGGAAGTGTAGATTCGTATTCCAAAGAGTAGGCTCCGACTGCACATATATTGTTTTGCTCTTTTGTCATATCCAAATAAAGTACATCTGTTGGCTCGGTTAGCTTTCGGACATCCCACCACAACACTTTTCCGTCAGTACTGGTTGAGAAAAATTCCGTCCCGGTCTTTGACTGAATCCAAATAACTTTCCATACAGGATCACTATGACTTTTTTCAACTGGAGATGAATCAACAGGAACAGACCCCTTCCGACGGTCCCAAAAAGCTTAATGCAAAATACGACCGATGATGAAAAACTTATAATTACGTTTGCTTTCAAAAACAGTGTAAATTTTATAAGTTATGGTTTTTTGTCAAGTAATCGATTGCAGCAAATTTTTGCATATATTTGTTAAAACTGTTATATGTGGAGTTCTTGTAGAACTGAATATTCTTAAATCAACTACAAGTGAGTTAATAATCCTAATTTGTTTCAGACTTGTACCATTAGAAGAAATTACTCAATGCTAACCAACACCTCAGGAGTCATCAAATCAGATAGCCTGTCTAAAATACAATATTACACAGTGAAAAGCGAGGTTTTTTGGTTATTCACTTGTAATAGTTCGTTGATAATTTCAATGTCCCAGCCATCAATGAATGAAATATTATAGAGTGCCGTATATAGCCAATTTAATTAAGGGGTCTGTAGAATCCGCGAGCCAAAGTAAAATTGCGAGAACATCTTAAATGGGTGTTAGTACAAAAACATAATTTACAAGAGGTTTTAACTCTATGAATTCACTATCAATTTGACAAAGAATACTCTAAATCATTTAGGACTATCCAACTTATAGATACCTAATTAAGTAGCACGAACTTTACTCGTATTTCAATTATGTACATGATTTAAAAGAACCAGAAGTACCAATTGATAATGTTTATTTTCTGTGATCGGTTGGTAGGAATTCCATCTATAACTTTCGGACTTCAAAGCTAAATCAACTGTTAGCCTGCTAAACCATAATTTTCAAGGCCCTGAATCGTTTTCATATCTAGTTTAATGAGAGTAAGTTTTTTGAAATTGTATCTTTAAAAAACATATGAACGTCCGGTCTATTTCATAAGTCAATGAAGTTTTGGAATGAGATTGCACACCGGTTAGATAAAATTCTGAAATATTCTGCAGTAGCATCACTTTATTCAAAACCCCTTGGTGTTTACGAAAATGCGCGACATAAATAACGAAACGCATATTAACTGATATACTGGAACTCACCGAGTTGCCCGTTATAGCACCCACCAATTAATGTATGCGTATCCTTTGGATTAAACTCAATGGAAACCAAGGGTGAGGACGGTTTCATCACCATGTCAGGTGTATTCGTATTTGCGACGTCCCATATGTAAGAGTCAATACAGACATCTGGGCCATCTACTTGAAAATCTGTGTTGCAATATGCGACAGCCAGTTTTGTAGGTCCATCAGGAAACCAACTTATGTGAGTCGCAGAACGCTTATGTTCGTTTATATCTCTTCTTAATAGGCGTATTTTGCTCAGTTACCTGAAAACATTTACCACCTTAGCTGACGGTGGTTCCTCGGATGCCTCCTGATCTATATTATCAAAATAGTCTTCAAAGATGTCAATCGCATTATTTTGTTTGATGCAGTGTTCAACAACCTCAGAAAATTAAACTTCATCCTTTTTACTTACGGCTCCGAGGCTCTGTAAAATAACTGTGTAGTTCTCGTCTTTCTCGACCTTTTTCCTGAAACGGACGACTTGGTCGGGTTCCTGGCAGTTCACATCTTTAGGCCAGCCTCCTTCGGTGTGGTTAATGCCCCTGGTCTCTGAGACTAGTCGTTCTGTATTGATCTCGTGCTCTGACATTTCCTTGGCACATTGTATCGCCCGATCAACAGGATCCTTGGAAATAAAATTTTCCGCAATTTTAGGATCCCTTGGAATGTCTATGTGCAATTCCGCTGCTCTATCCGCGAAATTGCACTGCCTTCCAAATTCAGATCTCTTTTTAGTGTATATATACTGAATTTCCATTGTCTGATATTGTATTGGCTAAGGTGAAATGCAACTTTGTAAGTGGCCCAAAGGTCACTGTCAATATCAACGTGCGGTGTTAAAGTCAAGGTCAAATCAGTCAGATTTGTGTCAGGAAAGAAAACGGTTCCTAGAATTATCGCCTTCCTTATAACGCTGTTGAGAACAGCTCACAGTTGTTCGTGTTAAGCTATTAGAAAATGGGTTGAGGAGTAGGTACAACAAGCTTGTGGATTATTCGAAAAAGTAACTGTTTAAATATTTCGGATCAAACACTCACAATAAAATTAGCTGACATCAGATAGACCGGGTACCATCCTTTAAGAGGCATATTTGCTTAACAGTCAAGTCAAGCATTAAGGTGTCTACCGCAAATCTAGAATTTGGAGGGTAAGAAAAAGGAAACAAAACAATACGCTGTGCACATACAAAGGACGGACTTAGGTAACGATAGAAGCATCAACGGGAATCCGAGATCACTTGTCTTCAATGGCTTGACCCCAACTGCGGTCTCTTCTGCGACTTAATCAGTTCAAAGGGGTATTCTCAGGCAATGACTTTGTCTTCACTAACGCACTTTCTTCAGTCCGAAAAACAAATGTAAACTACACTCCTAACCAGCTGCAATGTTAAGTTTTGGAAATATTCGTATTCTTAATTATGTTAAAAAAACTAACAAGAAATGGAAAGCGAAGAAGCTGGTTAAGTTGTACTGGTGGTTTGAATACCAACTATGAAAATATCACGGAATGGGCATGCTCCAAAACCTCGGTTTGTATCGAGAATTATGTCGGCTCAATGCCAAGATCTCCGGAACGTGTCAGACTGTGGTCATTTGAATGAGAGGAGTGCTATTTTTCAACTGGCCATTTACCTTGAATCACCTTTTCAAATGAGACAGCCACATGCAGAAAACTTAGGTATTATGTCTTCGTGATATACTTTGCTATCCATTAACCCACCAATGGAACTTTGTGGCATTTAACATCATGCTGAACGAAATATCCTGTTGGTGAACTTGGCCCATTGTTATCCTTTGATACTCTTAATTCCTCTTTCCCACTTAAGTCGATTAGTCTCTGTGTGTACGTGTTTTACGTCTGCTTGTATCGGTTATGGTCTGGGTAAGAGTTGAACTTGGGTTGCTGCACCGCCAATGTCACCTCAGGTTTACGTAGTCCCTACTGGGATCGCACATGACCATCGCTATGAGGATAGAACTCTCCCGGATGATGTGTCGATTCTAGCCTCAGGAAAAAAGAATAAATTTCACTGCCTACGCGAAACAAGTAGCAGCTTCTGCTCACAGTTTTAAGGGAGGACTTTTAAATTTCCTTTGGTGTTTTTCTTGTTTGCACGCTCGCAGTGGTTAACGGTGGTATTCAATCATTCCCGTTCTCATTGGCTACTTTGTTCAAGCGCTGCACACTCCTTTCGGGGTTGGATTCATTCAAATTTCTGCAAGAGACTGCATCAAATTCTTACCACGACGCGCTTCTGAACTTGTGTTTTAACTTATCGTATTGCTTCCATTTGCAAAATCCCGCTTTCCGCCAAGTCCTGCATATAAATATCCTGTCAGTGATCTTAGGTCTTCTTATTTCTGCCTCTTGGCACGTACTGTTAAATATCGTCGGTTCTTTTCTGTAAATGCAATTGCTATTTGGAATAAACTACCCATGAGTGTGAAAACTCTGCAAAATTTTCCTTTATTTAGGAGAACTATTACTCGATTTTTGTATTCAGAAAAGCTCCCACAAATTTTGGGTGCTGAATCTACTGATCGACTGTACCGTACCGATGGCGTTTGTGGTCTCTGAACACTATGGCCGGTCTCACCAGCTGTTCCTCAACGCCTCTACTTTGACTATCCCCAACTTCATAAAAGGAATTTGACGTCCGATAATCTCCGATACCGTGCAACCTCTTCCCTTCTTGACGGTCGATATTCTACCACCGCCGACAGTTTTTTTCTCCTGAGCCCTCCAAACCACAAAAACCACCATCAACTATATTTTTATGCCTTAAGCTCAGGATTTTTTTTCACTGCTGGTCGGATTTGTGTTTAATCGCTTCCCTTGACAATGCCTGTAAACTGGCATTAAAGTAAAATTTATTTATTTATTTATTTATTTATATTATGACAATTCCGCCTAGTTGAGCTGTTAATTGGTTGCTAATCCGCTGAATCTCCGGGCAGTTTTCATGGATGAGCTTTATGCATTCACAGGCATGTCGACATCATCCTACTTTGCCGTTTTTCGTGGCAACTTGCCACAGTCCTTTAGAAACTTTTGCGTAAGTTCTTCATGACTCAGGTCGCATATTGGGCGGAAGTGCATTGGTGTGGCCTCCACAGTCATGTTAATTTTTTCAGCGAGTTCGTATTTCTCGCGCGCTCGCACCCTTTTAAAAATGATTAAGAGTGTTCTATAAGCCAGTATCTTGACGTGGTCTTATACAGCGCCAGTGGTTTGCAAAAATTGGAGAGATTTAAGTATATAATGTCTGCGCTTGCGGAGGTTTACTTGCCTAGAAAGATCCAACCAACTAAAGTTCTTTTAAAATGCGCTAGGCCGTATACTTAGCCCTCTTTGAAATCGACAAGTAGACGGTAATAGTGGTCGCTTAGTTCGTTTCGGTCGTTATACCGAAGTGTGATAGCCAGCTGGTGGTGTGACTAGAAACTGCGAATGACGTGGTGTCTATGCTCGCCTAAGACGTGCCGAATGCGTGTGTCACAATAGTCAATCATCCGTATAAACGGAGCGCATACATACGTGGTCATCATCGAAATAAGCGTATCGTCTTCTTGCAAGCTGATGAGAGAAAAGTTTAGATCCAGGAACAATCGCTTTATTTTTTAACAGTACTCTCTTCAATATCCCTTTTTCCTCTTCTTCTCCTTCTCCTTCTACAGATTTACACCATCCCCCTTTAGAGATGTGGACTACCAACCTCTCAATGAGGTAATCAGGGCTGTGATGACGGGCACGCTCTAAGCCGCCGTCGTCTCGCTTACCGCCATCCATCATCAGGCTTCCGTTCCGGCTTCTGCGGTGTCCAGCTCCCATCCCCGTCCTCAGTCTCGCCCGGATTTACCACCGCCCAACGCCTCCAGGCATTCATCCTACCCTCCTAAAGAACCTCCCGTACTCCCCAATATAACTTTACGAAGTGATTTCTCTCCTGAAGATTTTGTTGAAATTAACGGTTCCCTAAGAATGTTTGTTTTCAGTGCTCTGTTCGTACCTTACCATTCTTTCCGAAAAACATCCAGTTTTGAATTTGTGAGCACCCCTCAATCATCATGTTTCTCAATGGACTTCTAATTCAGAAACTAGGAATTGCATTTTGCAAAGATTCGGCCTACCTCGTCTAAAACTCGCATGCAAATTTATTTTAATTTGCTTTGATGGGACCCCGACGGGTCTTTAATTAAAATTATCTATCTATCTATTGTGAAAAGCGTTGTATGCAAAATGTCAAATCGCCGACGAATGTGAAAACTTTGTCAACTTAGTACTCGATATATTTGAGAGACATAGGCTTACGCCTTTGGTCTCCATATTTGTACACAAAAATCTAAAAAACTGGCAACGACATAAGGAAATTTCAGCGAAAATGAATGCAGACATCGATTCACATAGGGAACTTAGTTTTATGGTTCCAAATTCGCAAAGTCCACTTGTTGATGTTACATAGTCTGTTAAGACGATATTTAAATTTCTTCACAGACCGAGACGTTACAGTCGCCTCAAGCAGGTGATTCCACGGTTCCACGACACGGCTGGAGGAAAATTCCTTTCTCACACTCAATCTTCCTTTGGGAACACGTAGTTTGTATGGATGTCCCCGGAGGTTATTTGTAATGGCGATTTAGAAAAAGTCGTCCTGCCGGAGGTCGCAGTCCAAGCCACACACGATACGGAAAGTTTGTATCAAGTCTCCGCGCAACTGCCTATAACTCAGAGGACAGACATTAAGGTTAGTCAGGCGGGTCTCATGTGGCAGCGTACTTTGATCTCTTAGTAATTTTGTGACCTGCCTCTGCACCCTTTTTGGTAGATTGCAATCCTGCTGCATCCATGGTCTTCAAGCTTGGATTGGATGTTCAAGCTGCGGCATTACAAGCCCTCCAAAGACTATGGAGAAGCATTCTTCATCGAAGATTGTGAATGCCCGTCTGATGGCGCACAGCATTGAAGTTATGGCTTAAGCTGTCTTATGATATTTCGTAAAAGGCTTTAGATTGCCTGCAATCCAGATTCCGCGATCCTTCTGAGTGTATGTTTCACGGAGCGGCATCCCGTTTAGATAATATTGCCGCGTATTATGAATCCGATTTCGATTCTCGATACGCAGTATTGTGCATTTGTTCAAACTGGAGGATTAGAGCCATCTGCGGGACCACTCGTTCAGTCGACAACAATCTTCTTGAAAGTTGGTCTCGTCGGCAGCATTGTGGATGACTATCCAAATTTTAATAACATCTGCAAGCATTGCACAGTCACAGTCCAACTCCTCCGCACAATCATTAATAAACAAGATAAAGAGGGCTTGTCCGAGCGCTGAGCCTTGTGGGACTCCACTTTCTATTACTGTGTGCCTGGATTTCTGTTGCTCCATGCAGACAATTCTGAACGGCCGACGAGGAAATTCTCAATCCATTTAAGAAGTTTGCCGGCGATGCCCATGACTTTCAACTTGTACGGGAGACGCTGGTGTGGAACTCTGTCGAGCACCTTCCGGAAATCTATGAGGGCTACATGCACAGCGTGTTTGCATCCCGTGCTCTTGTCCAACTTTGCATGGTGCATAGGAAATCCGTT